ATAAATAAGTGATAAATAAATATGAGTTGTCACATCACATCCATACAATTTAAAAACCATCATGATTCTATTTAGGGAACATAAATTTTATAAAAATATCGACTTTTAGTAGTAATTTTTACAATAATTGTAATATAAAATATAAAATTATGTAATAAATCTATTTTTATAAACATAAAAATGTAGAATAAAAAATTGGAATATCAGAATATTATTATAAATTGTTATTAAAAAATTACATTAATTGTATCTGATTTTTAAAAGTGTAAATATACATTAAATAAAATACATAATTTTACAACTTTTGTCTATATTTTTTGTTTTTTATTAACTCATATTTTTCTTATTAATTCATATTTTTATTATTAGATAAATGTTATATAATAGGGAAACTCCGGCAAATACGCCGTGCTGGGATTTATCTCGCAAAAGTTAGAAAAAATAAAAGGATAATTTTCTCATAACTATACTCTGTTATATGTTTTTATGTTATATTAGTATTATGTTATGATTTCAGTTTCTTACTGTCAATATTAATGAAATTATTTTGAGTTGAATCGATTTGTTACTGTAATAAGTAGCATCATCATAAATTATAATCTACATAAAATGATTACTGTAAGGCGCGTGAAAGACTTAGTGGTTATTTCATACATGTAGAAGAGTGATATATACATGTAGTGGAACAGTAAAGCAAAATACAAGTTGTATAGCAAAATACAAGTGCTTTGCTTTCGTATTCTTTGTTTAGTTTGTTGTCTTGTATATCCTATCTGTTTGGGATGTAAAGGATACCGGGAATAGTAGACTTATTTTTCAGTTTCGAATTTTTGCAGATAAAATTAAGAGACTTATCGAAAAAATAAATTCTACATTAGTTACTACATATATTTAACTATCTAATAATCTTTTAATAATAAGAGAAAACTAATAACTAAAATATGAAAAAAATGCATTTTTCTAATGCATTCCATCTGATTGAACTAACCCCGGAACGGAGCGAGTAAGGTGACTAATAGTATGAGGTAATTTTATTAATATTATTAAAATGAAAATTAATGTATATTTAATCTTTACATATCAACAAAGCTTTCATAAAAATGTATTTTAAACATAAACATGTTTATAAAATTTTTATAAAAATGCATTTTAAACACAAATATATTTATAAAATAAAAAAGTATAACTTTCTACTTTGTTATTAGATAAATAGCAATTTGTCTAATCCGAATCGTTATTCGAATTACAATTATAACAAACATAATATGATAAGTTACTTTTTATTTAGAATATATCTACATGTTCGAAAAATTATTCTTTTAATTATTCTTAATGTTTTCACATTATTATTATTATATACTACTTCTATTATTTAAAAGTAATTTTACAAAAGAAAGAAGAATATATGGAAATATTTCATATATAATTATATATGTTTATGAATACTTATACATGTTTATGTATAAATAATCATAAACATATATAATTTATTATATTATATACGTTTATATATATTTATACATATCAATGCATGACAAATTTCTTATACATGTAATTTAACTATTATTGCATATTTTTATGATTAAAATTCATTAAAACTAAAATTATAATTCATTAAACTAAAAATTATTGTATTATAAATGCATTAAAAAAAAACTCTCTAAATTCTTTTGAGTGAAATTTCAAAGAGGGTTTAAATATAGCTATGTATGGAATAGAGTGAGATCGGTCCTGGTAAAAAAAATTGATAAAGAACGATTGAGAACGATAGGATTTTTATCAATTTGTATCGTTTTTCTGTACGTTTGTATCATTTTCTATTGTTAACTTCGCGAGAGCATCACGATTGAAGTTAATAAAATTAATTAATTCGTCGCGAAAGAGTGCGCGACGCGTTCTAAAGTTTATTATCCAATTGTGAATGGACAACAAAAAATATGATGCCCGCATGATATTAAAACAAACCTTAGACATCGTAGTATCAAAATATTTGCATTTCCGATTTTAGTGCTCACTTTAAGTTAATGAAATTAATTAATTTGTCGCGAAAAAGCGCGCTGCGAAGATCGATGCCACAATGAGGAAAATGCTCTTCGAATTGTGGACCTATTTGACATCTACTAAATAATGTTGCCAATGTAAAATATGTTTCACCAAATGTGTTTTCAAATATGTTTTCATGTCAGTTTTATTAAAACTATTACTAAAAAATCGTCAAATTTTTAATGAAAACCGCTAAAAATCCACTTTTGTGTATAATAAATATAATTATAACTAAATAATTAAGCACAAAACATCGTGCATTCCATTCAAATGTAATAAAGTTTTACGCTATAAACTTTTTCGTATACTTTATACATTTTTACGTAATCACAAATATTAATTTTTTAATATTTATTATAAAGTTGTAAAATATTTATTATATAAAGCTGTTCTATATAATATTATTTTATATTTTTAGTATAAAATCAGCAATTACACAAACTTAGAATCTATTCATATATATTAAACTATTTTTCCAATTTTTTACATTAATACATTTCTATAATGTGTCTCGATTAATTGAACAAAGTTTCAAAACTTGGAAAATCTAAATCTTCCAAATTTATAGAGGTATACGTATCATTAGAATGAATTTTTATTAGAAGTTCTGATTGAACTTCGTAATTATAACAGCAGTTTTTGTTTTTACGAAATGCAGCTCGAATGGTCATTATTGCGTTCAACATGTACGAATTCATTTTATTTCTATGTTCGTTTTTAATAATGCTTATATGGCTGAAAATTCTTTCGATTTCTGCATTAGAAATAGGCAATACTAACAGTGAAATTACAAAAAAAAAAGTAGCTATTTTTAAAAAAGAATTATTTCCATCAGTAAAATTTAAAACTTCAGACCAAAACGGGATAGTTTTAGTCGTGTTTTCCCACTTGCATAAATTTAAATTTCTAAATTGATTTTCGATTTTAGTAATATCAAAAGCAGAAACTCCAGATAATTTCAAGATATCTGAGATTTCTTCCTTATTTATTTTTAATGTATTTTTTATAGAGAAATTTTTTTCAAAATTTTAACATTTTCAGAAAGTCTTTGTTTAGTTGATTGATTAAGTTAATTATAAATTTAATACATCTTGTTTTCACTGTAAGGATGTTATCTAAATTCTATTTTTTCATTTTTTGACATTGACTCTCAAATAAATAACTCATATAAGCGTTATTGTCAACATAATCTTTAATTATATTTAAATAAAAAGTACGAAATCAAAAATTTTAATAACAAATTCGTATTTTCGCCTATTTTTTCGACAGTTATTGCCCGCTTAAAATTTGCTTAAAAAGCGTACCAAATTTTTGATTTCGTACTTTTTCTCAATTTTACAGGTTTACTCTATGCCTAAACTCATCAGTAATCGAAATATGTTTGGTTTTTTGATTTCAGACCAATAGAAAAAGCTGGGCGATGGCAGCCGTTTTACGTCTTTCACAAAAACGGCCTTCGTGGAGGGACTGTACCGCCGCCATTTTGTATCAAAAAAAAATTTTTTTAATTACCTGACACATGTCATTAAATTATGCCAAAAGTGCAAAATGATTTAATTATTT